AGTGTCCTGTAACAGTGACCTCACCTTCCTGTGGGTTTTCTTCCCTTCCCTGTTGACAAGCACCCTCACTGTCATTGGACCATGCCTCACCCAGCCTCTGGAAGGAGACCCTGAACACCAGGGACTAGGGAGTCCAAGCCACTTTGAGCCTCCAGGAGCCTGTGAGCAGGCTGTGGGCGCAGCCGTCCCCCTGAGCTCTCCCTCCGGCAGCTTGCTCACTGAGTCAGACCAACCCCCCCCCCCCCCCAGGACGCCTGGCCTGGACATGCTCTGGCTCTCTGCAGAGAGCGTCACTGTGCACCAACTTACCGAGGCACGGGGTCTGCCTCAGGGCCTTGGAATGACCAGCTCTCCCAGGCATCCTCGTGGGTATCTTCTGGTGAACTCTGAGCTCCTGTGGGGACTGGGCAGGGGTATCTCTCCCCTGAGAGGCACTTGCTGAGCCCCTTGTCCTGGTCTCAGCCCAGGCCATCTCCTGGGCGAGAGAGTTGCCCAAGGGGAAACCAGGTGGGAATGTTAGCACAGCTCTGGGCGAGAGGTTTCCCTGCGGGCCCTGGCTGTCCCCGCTGGTGCTGTCCCCGGGCTGGTGCACTTGGCCCTTGTGCTGCATCTGCAGGCAGAGCCAGGAGCCTCGCAGAGGCCGGTGTTGGGTGAACTGGCAATTTGGAAGAGTATGTACATAGTTATTTTTCTCTCAGTTGTTTCTTGTTTGGTTTGCTTTTGACAGCTTTATTTTATTTCAGACATCACTTTTTGGCCACGTAAACTATTTCTGGTAATTTTATGTTTTTATTTATGAATAAAGAATGCCCTTTCTCATGCCCTCCATAGCCAGTTGTCTACCCAAGCTACCCAACTGTCCCCTTGCTGCTGTGGCATGGCAGCTCCTTGAGGCCTTTCCCTTTGGGACAAGAAAGGCAATGTCCCTTTCCACCAGCAAGGGAGGTGACGAAGGTGGGACAGGGTAGTGGGAGAGAGTGGGAGGGGGTCAGGCAGACTTTAGCGGGCCTCTGCCCCTCACCAACCTGCAAACTCCCTGTGAAATGTGCCCTGGGCCGACCCAAAGTAAAGAGGAAAGGGGACCAAGGGATAAGTGGCTGCAGAGTCAGAGGGTCCTCTCCAAAAGAGAGCCCCCTCCCCAACCCTACCTGCACACACCTCTCCTGTCTCAGTCCACCAGCTGCTCACCTCATGAGCCAGCTACTCGGTCCGTCGCATATGGCCTCTTGGCAGGAGACCAGAGTGGCTATTGTTGCCACCGCTCCAGGGCCCCTAGCTGGGAGGGTACAGTCACCACAATGGCCATCTGTCCACCCTTCTTGGTACCAGCCTGCCTAGTCCTCTTCGACAAGCATTCCCTACTGTTCTGGGCTCAGATGCTAGGCTCCAAAGGCTTCTGCTCAGGTGGCAGGAGACAGAAGGGACATGTCAAGAGGGAATTAAAAGCACAAAGCAGCCTGCAGAGCGCATGACAGGTAGCTGACAGTGCTCTGTGGTAGAAAAGATTGGTATTGGCTGGGATGTCTAGGGAAGGTGGCAGGTGGGAGAGGAGCCTGGGGGCCAGGGTGGGACATAGAGGAGCAGGGAGGAAGGAAAAGATGAATATATCTCTGTGGCAGGTGTCTGCACAGCAAGTGGAAATGTGCCTTCGTTGGTGCCAGGAGCAGCACTGGGGGTTGGAGAGGCAGGAAGGCCGAGTGCAGTAAACCCCGATGCCCAAGAAGGTCAGACAGCTGAGAAGTGACTGAGCCAGGACAAGAACCAATCTGTCTGATTCAATAGCTTCCATTTAGAGGCAAAGGTCAGACCCAGGGAAACCCTTCCTGGTCTCCCTCCTGGACCTGGCCCAAGGCTGGTGGGCTGTTCTGCTGGTGCATGCCTCCACTAATCACACCCTTGGGTAGCCCCTTCCCTTTAGTTCAGGCAGTCCAGGGACTCACTTTAACCAACGGGATTCCACAGAAGTGGCACGCTGCCAGTTTCAGCCTAAGCCTAGAAGGCCTGGCAGCTTCTGCTTTTATGCTCTTGGGGCCCCTAAGCTGCCATGTAAGAAAAAAGCTCCCCCCTACTCCACTGGAGAGACCACATGCAACAGGAGGGACCCACTTGTCCCAGCTACCCAGCTAGGCCTTCCCTCCAGCCGAGTGCAGCTGGGTGAAGGACCCAGGACCCAGCCAATACCACGTGGAGCAGAGACTTACCCCCCAGCTCTCCCTGGCCAGAATCTTGACCTACAGAGCCATGATCATGTTAAATGGCAGTGTTCTTAAGCCACTAGAGCCGGGTGATCTATTATGTGGATAGAAACAGATAACTGAAATGCTCTTCAGCAACCCCCTGACTCGCCACCTCCACAAGCCTCTCCCCCTCCCCCACCAAGGACTAGGACAATATAAAAGCAGGACCCTGGAAAGGGATGGGCCATGACAAAGACTGTGCCAGCTGCAGGAGAAGCAGTGATGTGGGGGAACAAAGGTTTTCCCCACCCCCTCTCCTCCAGAGTCCTACTGGGGACACAAACCTTCCTGGAGTCCCCAAACTTGCTAATCGGTCCGGGATGGGGGGGGTGGAACAGAAAGAACAAAAGGGAAACTAGAGAGAAAGAGACTCTTCCTCCTCCTGACAACAAGCAGCTCAATCTTCAGCCTCCGCCGGCATCTGAGACACAGTGTCAGGGTATTTTTACCAAGCCACAGACAGACTCAGAGCGCACGTGTGCACGTGGGGGAGGCAGGTCGGTGATCGTCCCCAAGCATCCTCAGCAGCAGGTGCTGTCCCCAAATTTCTCCCAACCTAGATGTCACGAGGCCTGAAATATTACCATTTAATTTATCCATTCATTCATTCCTACATGCACGTATTTGTTCAGTACATATTTATTGAACTCCTACTCTTTTCCACACCCTGTCCTAGATATCAGAAATTCAGAGGTGAACGAAACACTGATCTCTTGGCATTCTCTTCCTGCTCAAGGTCCTTTCTCATGGAGTCTACACACTGGAAGTAAAAAAAATAAGATAATTTTCCATTATGATAAGAGTCACAGAGAAAATGAACAGGGTGGTATAAGCCGGCTGTATGTAGGCTAGAGATGTTATTCCAGAGGGGTGAGGTGGGGTAACTGGTACGGGAAAAGGAAAGTTGGAGAACCACAGACGTCCTCTGATTTCAACGTTTGGAGACACTATGCCAGCCACGGAGCCTTTCCTAACTGGGAAAACCCCCAAACACACAAGTTCTTTCTCTTGGATATCTCATCTTTTCTAGGGGCCTTAGCAGATACCTTGTTTTCTTAAAAAAAAAAAAAAAAAAAAAAAATTATCATGTATATTTAAAGTATACAACATGGTGTCATAAAACGCATATGCCCAGTCAAACGGTTACTATATACGATACCTTCCTAACAGGAGATGGGTGGCTTCCCTTCTCTAACGTGGGCGTCTCTAACCTTACCTTCTTCTCCACCTAAAACAAGATCCTCTCACTACCTCCCAATGGAGACCTTGAAGAACCTTACACATTAAACATTGTTCCTGACATGCGAAAATCGAAGACGAAATTGTGTGAAATAGCACAATCTTTATACAGATGCTGAAATTCAAATAGCTTCTTTCTAGCTAACTTTCTAGGTAAGAAAATGCTCAGCTACAA